GGGTTTGAACCACTGGCCTTCTGGTTAGCAGTCAAATGCCTTAGGCACTACACTACCAGAGCTCCCATACCTCATTAAAATAACAAGAAAACCATCTTCCCAAACCAGGTTACATCCACAGGTATAGGGGTTAGAATTCTAACACATATTTTGGGAAAACAATTCAGTTTTTAATAACGCTCTTCTATTTACAATACAGAAGCATGACATTTATTTATTGGAGGAAAAACCCATTGCTATTGAGTTAATCTTGACTCATAATGACCTTAGTAGAAGAGAACAAAAGTGCAAAAAGACAGCATCTAGAGAAACTGGAGAAAAAAAACTGAAGATGTTTTGTCATAGACTCCAATGTACAAGAGTTTCATGAAGAGAGTGTCTTGAATGCTATCAAGATATCAAATAAGGTGATGACTAAAAATGTTTGATAATTTTAGGAACATTGAAGTCCTTGCTGACCATAGTGATATGTCCTTTCATTTCAATAGTCTACCCTCTTTCTTAGGAGCTCTGGTAGCATAGTGCCTAAGGCACTTGACTGCTAACCAGAAAGCTGGCGGTTCAAACCTACCAGCCACTCGTCAGAAGGAAGATGGGGCAATCTACTTCTGTAGTGATACTGCTTCGGAAACCCAAGGAAGGGTTGCTAGGTGTCGGGTCCGACTCCACGGCACATAACAACAACAACAACAAGATCCTCTTTCTTAATTTTTCTCTGTTTCTTATATTTAGTTTTAAATTATGGCAAAATAGGATCAGAATACCAGAAAACATTGGAGGGCAAGGTACAAACAGTTTCATACAGAATTCCTGAGTAGCACTATTTTTTAAATATATGTCAGTTCATATATACACACATACACTAACACATACAGCATATAATTTTCTATGATTATTAAAATTCTAATGAGCCATACAAAGTTTTTAGACATGTAAAATAAATGTCAAATATTTCTGGCATCAGTGTTTATCCTCTGTTTCTTCCCAAACAAAAATAGAATTTATAAAAAAAAAAATAAAAATTTATTTAGAACAAAATTTACTGATCTTTTCTTCTCATATAAATACTTTCTATAGTTTGTTTTTAAGTAAAAAATATTTAGTGATCACTTGCCATGGCCAAACACAGTACCAGAAAGTTGGAATTCCGGGGCAAATGAGATGTCTACAAAGAACAGAGTCCAGTACATCATACTATATCAATTTGCCTTCTTCTGTTTATGTTGTGGATTTTTTAAGATGTAGTGGGTTGGATCAAACTATGTAGATGCTGAAGCTTCACTGAGAAAGAAAGTATATCTTAAAATGGTTGCCTGTGTATTAAAGGAAGAAGTAATGAAGTAAGGTTGGGATATAGAAAAGTATGAAGTCTCTCCATTGAGCATCTTGCCCTTCACATGCTAACCACACATACAAATGCACAACTGTGCACAGACATGTGCAAATATAAAATGTGTAATAGGTAGTTGTAAGAATGAGAAAGTGTTTATGACTGGCTTTGATATTTCTGAAATCTTTGACATCATAATCATTTTCATGTCCCATAACACATTTAATACTTATTTTTTATATTTTATATTTTTAATAATATGTTTTAAGAGTTATGTATGCTCAGTATTAGGCCAAGCTTAATATAATTGGTTAGCATTTTGAACAAACTTATGGTTACTGTTTCTTTATTCTGGAGAGTGCATTACTGAAGATATCATCAGAAAAATAACTGTGAATAATACAGAAACATAAACTCCAAAGTAAGAGTTTCACTATAAAAACTAATTCTAGGTTTCAGTGCTTTTATGAGTTATTTTGACAGCAACACAATTTGGCAAGAGTTTCTGTAAAGCAACAACAACAAAAGTTAGCTCTTCTCGAGGCTTTTGCCCAGAAATTTAATCAACTATTGGTAGTTTCAAGCTTTTAGATATAGAAAGATCTAGGAAATTTGTTTTCATATTTCATTCGTTCTTAGATGGTATACAAACAGTAACAAAATTCTATAGATAGGTAGTCCTGGATGGTCCCAATTCTAAAGAAATGCTACTTACCTTGATAAAAACTTGTAGTAAGTTGATTTATTTCTATGTGACAGAACCTCCACATTGATGATGAGTCACTGGTGACTATAATTGCTATGCTTCTGTCTTGGTTAATTCCAGAGCACATTCAGAAAATGAAGGGACCTCTTTACCATCTGCTGACTCCTGTACCAGTCCTACTAAAATGGATTTATCATTTAATAAGACTGCTAAGCAATGCCTAGAGGAGATATCTGGTAAGTAATCTGATTGATGGGTAAGTAAAATTGGAGAATTCTTGTAATCTCTCTGTAAATTTTTGTATTAAATCATATTTGTACTATATTGTCTCTCCTTATATAAAAATGGACTGTGTAGATCTTATACATTAGAGATTATTAGAACTCTTTGATTATTCTTCTTTAGATTATCTCTTTTTGGCTTCATAGAAAATAGTAGAACTTTGATAAGTTAGGATTTGAAGTAAGTATTGTCTCAGTCAGGTTTATGATATATATTCAGAGAACACTGGAGAAACTTATTATTAATAAGGCAGCCCTTCAACTTCTTCCTTCAGTACCATTGGTTCTTGATCATATGCCAACTCCTGAAATAGTTGAACGTTGACCAATTCTTTTTTGTACAATCACTCTGTTTATTCCTTCTATCTTCTTTTGATGCTTCAAGCATCATTCAGTATTTTGCCCATAGAATCCTTCAATATTGCAACTCGAGGCTTGAAGTTCTTCTTCAGTTTTTTCAGCTTGAGAAATGCCAAGCATGTTCTTTCCTTTTGGTTTTCCAACTCCAAGTCTTTGGACATTTCATTATAATAGTTTGGCTTCTTGTGTTGCCCTTTGAAATCTTCTGTTCAGCTCTTTTATCTTGTCATGTATTACACATTTTAGCTACTCTCTGCAAGAGCAAGATTCAGAGACTCTTCTGTCATACATTTGGTCTTTTCTTCCTTTCCAGTCTTCTTAATGACCTTTTGATTTTTTCATGTATGATGTTCTTGATGTTAGCTGACACCTTGTCTGGTCTTCAGTCATTGGTGCTCAGTGCATCAAATCTATTCTTTAGATGGTCTCTAAATTCTGGTGGGATATAATCAAGATCATATTTTAGTTCTCATGGACTTCAGCTTCAATTTGAACTTGCATATGAGCACTTGATGTTCTAGTCCACAGTCAGCTCCTGGCCTTGTTTTGGCTAAAGATATTGAGCTTTTCAATCAGCTTTTGCCAAAGATTTAGTCCATCTGATTCCTATGTATGACATTTGGCAAAAACAACATGTATAACCCCATTTATGTTGTTGAAAAAAGTCATTGGTCTTGCAAAATTCTATCACACATCTACAGCATCATTTCCATCACTAAGGCCATATTTTCCACATAACCAATGTTTCTTCTCTGTTTCCAACTTTAGCATTCCAGTCACCAGTAATCATCAATATATCTTGATTGTATGTATGGTCAATTTCAGACTGCAGAAGTTGGTAAAAATCTTCAATTTCTTCATCTTATGGTTTAGTGGTTGGTACATAAATTTGAATAGTAGTAGTATTAACTGGTCTTCTGGTAGGCATATGGATATTATGCTATCATTTACAGCATTGTACTTCAGGATAGATCTTGAAATTTTTTGTGATGATGAATGTGACACCATTCCTCTTCAATTTGTCATTCTGGCATAGTAGATCTTAAGGTTGTCTGATTAAAAATGGCCCAAACCAGTCCATTTTCAGCTCAGTAATGCCCAATATATCAATCTTTATGCATTCCATTTCATTTTTACAACTTCCAGTTTTCCTAGGTTCATACTTTGTACAGTATGCATTCTGATTATTAATGGATGTTTGCAGCTGTTTCTTCTCATTCTGAGTCATGCCCTATCAGCAAATGAAGTACAATATTAAGGTCAGCTCTACTTTGAGGAGGCAGCTCTTCCCCAATTGCATTTTGAGTGTCTTCTGACTTGAGGGGCTCATCGTCTCGCATTACATGACACAATGTTTCAGGGCTATTCACAAAGTTTTCCAGTAATATATCAGACAGTACTTCACTGCCATTTATAAGCTTTCCAATGGCCAATTCTTTGAGAAGTAGATGGCCTCTTCCTTCTTCCCAGTCTATCTTAATCTAAAGTTCTTTTATATAGGTTCATTTTTATGAGGTGCCGAGCAGCCTCTTAGCAAATTGAACACTGGTGGCACAGTGGTTATAGCTCTTGCTTGCTAACCAAAATGCAGGCAATTTGAATCCATAAGCCACTCTGTAAGAGAAAGGTGAGGTGGTCTGCTTCCTTAAAGATCTATTTTCTTCAAATCCCTATAGGATAGCACTCTGTCAGCTATGGGTTAGAGGGAGGGGGATTATAAAAACATACCTGTTTCTAAGTGTAAGAATGCATAGAAGTTGAGGTATATCTGCTATTCCAATAAATTCTTACCTGCTCCCTGATTATTCACATCTACCAAAAAAACCAGACCCACTGCCATTGAGTTGATTCTAACTCATAGCTATCCCCATGGAGTATCCAAGGCTGTTAATCTTTACAGAAGCAGACTGCCTCACATTTCTCCTACGGAGTGACTAGTGTGTTCAAACTGCTGACCTTTTGGTTAGTAGCAAAATGCCTTAACCACTGAACTACCAGAGCTCCTCATTCACAGCTACATCCAAGGAGAAAACAAAACAAACAAAAAACTAAAAGAACTATTTAATTACAATATTACTGTAGTACTCCAAAGATTCAAAGTATTACTCTGAAAGTCATAAAAGTAACTATATCACAAATTTAGAGGTGAAGATACTCCCTCATTTTGGCATACCAGAAGCACACTTTGGTAAGCATTAGCCTATACTGCAATATATACCGATGGGTATTGATAATGACAGAGGATATGCCAAGGGTACCTTTGGGAATTACCATCAATGGCATCATTAGGCACCAGAAGTTTCATGTGAAGATTACAACAAATGCCTAATACAGGAAAGGAATAGAAATGGTTAATGCCATGATGTAGCTATGGCTAGGTAGCTATAGTAAATTCTTCAAAATACTTGAGGGAAATGATCCTTATGGCTTTCTCATAACTCCACATAGTCTTACAACCAGAATAATGCTTTATTGTGACCAGATAGTTTGGAAACTAGTGGCTTTAGAAACATATGCTTCACATATCTGTTTATATATGAATGCCTTTAATTAATATATTTATGCCTATGGATTACTAGAGCTCGAATCTATAGGAGTGAATGCATGTAGTGCAGTTAGAAGTATGATTTTTAAGTGAATTTCACAAAGGAACATTGTTTTTCTGAAATTAATTTGTCACTGAGTATCTCTGATTATATAAATAATCCATGTTTGTTTTTTTTCTACAGTTACTCTAACAATTGATTTTTTTCATAATTCAAGTTATATTTCCATGTAATATTTTCATGGTTTTAATGGAATACTTGAAAGTGGAATATAAACTAGATGCTACTATAATAATTTAATGGACTTATTAGAAGACATAATATAATTTTGCAGTAATAATGAATTGCTTATATGGAATCATAGATTTGATTCTGTGATTTGGATGGGAATATAATAAAAGAAAATAAACAAATAAGGGCAGAATTGAGGCTTATCTAATTGTATCTTTCCTGTCATAATCTGTTTAAGATAATATGGTAGTAAAGTGTCCCTCAATGCCAACTTAAGATTGTATGGAAGAAAGGTGATCTTCATTTACTGTTAAAACCCATTACCATCGAGTTGATCCAACTCATGGCAACCCCCATGGGTCACAGAGTAGAACTGTTTCATAAGTTTTCTTTATAGGAGCTGATCACCAGGCCTGTCTTCTATGCCACTGCTGAGTGGCTTCACACTGCCAACCTTTAGATTAATAGTTGAGCACAAGGTATTTGTGCCATGCAGGGACCTCTTATTTACCATTAAACCAAAACCAAACTCACTGCCATCAAGTCAGATCTGACTCATACCAACCTCTTTGGGTTTCTGAGGTGGTATATCTACGGAAGTAGATTGCCCAACCTTCCAAGGAGTGACTGGTGGTTTTGAACCACCAGCCTTCTGGCTAGCAGTCAAATGCCTTAGGCACTATGTCACCAGAGCTCCCTTAGTAAGTTATAAATTGAATATATATTTGAAGAGATTTTTTTCCTTCACTATAGCTTTATTTATTTATTTTTTAAAATTATAGTTTGAGTAAAAGTTTAGAGCAGATTAGCTTACCATTCAAAAATTTATACACATTTTGTTTCACAATATTGGTTACAAACCACTCAATGTATCAGTACTGTTCCCCCTTCCTCCCTGAGTTCCTCATTTCCTTTCATCCTTCTTTCCTGCTCCTTCCTGCCTTCTGAGGTTTGTTTTGGGCAAATGTTGATAAGTGTATACCAGTAGACTAGTGATGAAAGCATGATTATTATAGAGAAATGGGATTGAATATCCTCCTATTTTTTTTTTTCAGTTTTAGTTATTGCATCACTGTTACTCCTTTTATTACACTTTCTGCCTTAATTTTTGGTGATTATATTATTCATATAAATGATCCTTCCAAATTCCTGGCCTCTATCTCAGGGTCTCATCCTCCAGTCCTCCTGAGCTACCCATTTGCATGGTCACAGTTTAGATCTGGTGATTACCAGCAGCTCCAACTGTTCTCTAACCTCCATTTCATGCCTCCCTCTGTCACTGACTACTACCTCCTAGCTTCTCAGTACTCTTTCTTTTGTACTCTGACTCCACCAGTGGCTCCACTAAGATTTCAAACTCATTGATCCCACCATGTTTTACTGTTCATCATGTTGCTATTGTTGTTTTTAGGTGTTGTTGAGTCGGCTCTGATTCACAGTGACCCTACTATGTACAACACAATGAAACACTGTCTGGTCCTGGGCCACCCTCACAATCCTTGCTACACCTGAGCCTATTGTTGCAGCCACTGTGTCAGTCCATCTCATTGAGGGCCTTCCCCTTTTTTGTTGGTCCTCCACTTTACCAAACATGATATCCTTCTCAAGGGAATGGTCCCTTCTGACAATATGACCAGAGAAAGTGAGACGAAGTCTGGCCATTCCCACTTTCAAGGAGCCTTCAGGCTGTACTTCTTCCAGGACCGATTTGTTCATTCTTTGGGCAGTCCATGGTACTTTCAGTATTCTTTTCCGATACCCTGTATATTCTTCTTCCTTTTGCAGTCAGTTGAATTCCTGTGGTCATGAATATAATTT